CCACGACGCAGTGGTGCTTTTGGCCCCGGGTTAACATCCCCGTGCGTCTACTCTCTACTCGACGATTTTGAGGGTTAAGCGTCGGGAAGGCTTTTCTTTCTCCTTTTCTTCCCTTTTTCCTTGCGTGATATGCTGTCGGATGTACCGTGAAGTTATCCCTAGCATAGAATCATTTCTAAATATTTCTATGTAATCTTTGCTAAATATCTTAAGCGACAGATTTTTTATGATTTCTTGTAATTTCATTCGTATCTGAAATATTTGTTGAAAAACTCAATGTCATATTTAGCTTTGATAATTTATGAACATATATAGAAATTATATTTTTTTTACTTTATGAACTTTTGGCCCCGGGTTAACATCCCCGTGCGTCTATTCGACGATTTTGAGGTTTAATTCCTACAAATTGCCTATAAGTACTAGGAAGCTGTTGACCCTGGATTGCACTTGAGATTTTAGAAAGAAATATAGATAGCGTAAGGACCTCCGAAAATTTACATAAAGTGGGAAAATTCCGCGAAAGTACGGCAGGAACTGGAATATGTTCTAAATATTTTACGGTATCTAAGAAATGTGCTAAGTTCTCTTGTTATCGTTTTGCCTTTCATGCCGCTATTGTTTATGAAAATTGATGTTTGTACGTGCAGGACAACTTATTATTGTATCTAAAATTGTTTATTTTAGAATTTATTTGAAAAAAACATGGTGCCTGATTAACCCGGAAATTACTGAATTAAACAGTGATCGGGTGGCAATACAGCTTAACTTGTTTCAATATTTCCAGTTATTTCCATGTTTTAGGCGAGACACATCGATGTCAGTTCTCGGAAAGTTGTAAAATGTTTGAAATTGATATTTCTTTGTCCCCTAAAAACTATCTACCTTAACTATTGTAAGATCGGATCGCTTCTATAAAGTGAAAAATAGAAACGTGACCCGCGTAGTAATTGTTTTTAGTCGGGAAAACTTCTTTAATCGAGCGTCTTTGAAAATTTAATAAGCACCCCGAGAAGGCGGCCAAGGGCGCCGGCTGAGGCCTGTAATGACCAGAAAATAATTGAGATACCTCGGGTCACGACACCGCAATACTTGCGCGTGAGATTGTTGAACGATAGGCCGGATAATGGATAAACTAGAGGGGTGCATTCATGCACGCAGAGACCCGTGTACGCTCGCATTAAGGGGTGCGTGAACGCATTTCCCTAGGGAGGAAGTGTGGGATGCAGACTACGCATGTTAGCATAGGCGTATTCAAGGATTCCTAAGGATTTAATAGTAAGCACCTAAAGTTAATTTAACACCTTTGGAATCGCTCTCGACAAATAAATTAATACGAAGAAGTCTATGTACGTACATATCCCTGATCAATGCAGGACTGACCTGGCATTTATTTTCAATTGTCTCGTTTTAAGAGAAAAAAAAATGGATTAATAATTCCTATGCAAACGAAAAATGTAATACTTAAAAATAAAATATAATAATATCACGCATCGTTGTACCATGAATACTACGAATAAAGTTCTAAAATGTAAGCAACGCTCGCGCTTCTAGGGACTTTTGAATGGTTCGAAACATATCGCGATATGTACGCGAGTGAATACCGTCTCATAAAAATGTTATGTTTATGCATGACTTTACGTTTCATCGTCGAAGTATGCGACCTTCGTTCGGAGACGCAGTTCTCATCTGGTAGGAATCAGTTTACCGTCCTCAAGAATAGATCCCAAAGTCACAATCATCGACAAGTAACGATGTCCATTAATCATTTCTTAATAATTGAACTCGTTCGTATCACTTCCTTGCCGAGTTAATGCCGCTTACAAACAGTTGGTCTGTTAACTGCCTGCCGTTAAAGATGAAGTAAAAGTTTCTCTTATTGCGTTGTACTCTCGTAGCCTCCGTTCGTTATTTAACATACTTACACCCTAACCTTGCGATCTCTTTATTACCGTTGTTACGGCCGTTTTGCATCTCGGGTGGCTTCATCGCCGGAGAGTAATGAATTTCTCTCTCCTTTTCGCTACTTTCCTCTTTCTCTCTCCCTCGCCCCGCCCTCTCTCTCGCTCTCCCTCTCCCTCCATTTTTTTCCTCTATTTCCGCCTCCATTTTCTCATTTCCGGATGATTTCCACGAGTCGATCTCTTCTAAAATCCAACTCAATAGTGGGAATGTCAAGAGTCGCTTTAAATTAAAAACGGGAACTGTGAAATAGTTGTGGAAAAAAAAGTAACGCTGCTAAACGTTGGTTATACATTAAATGAAAGGGATTAATTCGTGTGTCGTATAAACTTGCGTAGTTTCAATTGGCCGGGAGAGTAACACGTATTATTTAAATATATCGATCAAATTTCCACGAGTCGATCTCTTCTAAAATCCAACTTAATAGTGGGAATGTCAGGAGTAGCTTTAAATTAAAAACGGGAATTGTGAAATACATGCGGAAAAAAGTAACGCTGCTAATCGTGGGTTATACATTAAATGAAAGGGATTAATTTACGTGTCGTATAAACTTGCGTAGTTTCAATTGGCTGGGAAAGTAACACGTATTATTTAAATNGCTAAATAAATTTAACAATTATTATACGAAAACTCAAAACATTAATTGAGAAAAAATTATTAAACTTTGAAAATAATTTCAAGTTAAAATTTTAAAAAGTGTCTTTTGACACCTTTGGTAGAAATAGTGTTAAAGTTCAAGCCCCAAAAAATCAGCTATTCAATGTTTATACTCTGAAACGTCCCCTGTTGCTTTGCGTTATAATATAGAGTGCAATCAAAAAGTTCCCATAACCCTTTTACGATCCGCTACTTGTAAAGGGTCCCCTCGAACTCGCGTGACCTCTAACGGCCGTTAAACCGTAATTCTACTTAAGTCGTTCAATTATGGTAAATTGCATTGTCGATTGATATCTAATCGTAACGCTTATAATAACGAGTACAGAAGGGTACCGGCTCGGATGGATTCTATAATACGTGACAAAGTACGTGTATGTTCACGGTATAACTATTAGCGTGTAACGATTGAAAGCCGATATATTCATATTTCCACTGCATGAAATATATTGCCAACATTAGTATGTTGTTGTTTTATGGTTATGCGAGGATGAATAATTTTTTCATTTGAGGGTTATTCGCTTAAGAAATCTGAAACGCGAAAGGTTTGCGTGATACCCTTAACACATGCAAGCCTTCGGGTACGTAATTGAGCACAAAGTGTACTTTGATGTTAAAAGACACTATCGCGGGATATCAACCCCGTAGTATCAATATAATGGGGTTCGTTTAATGGTGGGATGATGGTGTATACTTAAGGAAGTTACACAGCAGTACATTGAAGGGAAAATTACTTTGGCTTGGGTATTTTTCTTGGGTGAAACTGGACGATATGATAAAGCGAGAATTACTGGCCATAATTGAACTTAAGGACAAGACGAGAGTTTTCATTTTCTCTTGGTTGATTTTTTGCGAAAACTGTACAAGGTCGGCAATTCTTGTACCGTTAGTTTTTCTTTTTAATTGTATTGTAATAATTTTTCGTCTCGGAGACGTCGATAAAATGTACTTTGAAATAAAAGCTTCGCGAATATGTGCCTTATCATTTCTGAAAGTTCTGTAGTTAACATAATTACGGGTGTTTAAGGGAATAATTTCTGCCGAATTATTTGACAAAAAGTTTGACGATATCACGACGAACAAAGTTTCTACCTAATTTAATCTAATCTTTGTGAAGTGCCCAATGTTTCGGAGAAGACATGAATTACTTGCTTCCGCTGATCAAATTGTAATTATACCCAGTTCACTGAAACCTTTACGGCTTTTATTTTTAAACTTGACCACTATATCGCTCTAATATTGCATTTCGGTCACGTATTTCTTGAGACGGTTTATACAAGTTTTCCACAAAATTCTTCTCATGTAGTATAACCGATCTCGCCTTTGAAAAAATGTAAAATTGAAAGACGCCCGAAGCATAAAGAAACCGCTAAACGAGGACGGAATGAGCTCGTAAAAAACTATGATTGACGTTCCGATTACAGATGGTCGTGATAAAAAGAAACGAAGCAAACAAATAACAAATGCTAAGCTTGACCAGCAAATGTTCATCGATGAATTATATACCAGAATTTATTGCTAATTAATTGCTCGCAGAAAAACCAAATTCAAATTTTTTTGCCCACCCCTAAAGGGGTGAATCGCCACCCTTAGTACTGATCGCAGGACAGAAACATGAAGAACATGGAAGAATCGAACTACTTGTTCACGTGGGAATTAATCGCTAGTCCATGTAGGTTTGAAAATTGTATTTTTACGAAGATATTGGTTCTTCTTGGAGCAATTAATTAGCAATTAATTCCCACGTGACGAAATAGTTCGAATCTCCCATGTTTTTCATGTTTCTGTCCTGCGATCAGCACTAGGGGTGGCGATTCACCCCTTTAGGGGTGAGAAAAAAAAAATGTAAATTAGGTTTCTCTGCGAGCAATTAATTAGCAATAAATTCTGGTATATAATTCATCGATGAGCATTTACTTAATAATTGTTTTTTATTGTGGCAGTGCTAGCTTTATATAAAGCTGACATCGCCACCATATTTCGGAAAAGTACAGGAGCAAAAAATTCTTTTCTTGTGCCTTAAAATAGCAATGAATTAGCAATAAATTTTGCAACAAATTTTATTGAATTGTGCTAAAGTGGCAATTCCAGCTTTATATACATGTCCACCTGGCGTGTGCGTGCGGCCGGGGGTCACACACGTTTCGGCGCCTAGTCCAGAGGCGTCTAGCCGTTGTGTGAGTCCTATGCGTGCAAAATACACACACATTTTTCGCCCGTTGCTAAACACCGCCCATTATGCGTCGCGTCTCTCTCATCCGAGCGAGAAAGAACGTTTTGGTTATCCCCCACCGAATTCGATGCTAATGCCATCTAGCGGTGGAAGTCATCGTCCCCACTTTGGTGGTGAACGCCGTTAACGTCGATTTGCGCTCTATATTCGACAGGTGAACCCAGACTCGCAGGACCGGACGACGCAGCAGATCCAGTCGAAGTTGGGCAACTACTCTCTGGTGAAGCACCTGCTGGACGAGCCGAAGCGACTGATCGGGATCGAGGGCGTGCCGGCGAGTCCCGCTCCGGCGTCGGCCTCGGCGTCCTTGCGGAGCTCGGGAGGGTCGGGAGCGGCTCCTCGGATCCCGTCGGCCGCCCCCGCCCCGGCCGCGGGCCTGGGGCCCGCCGGCCCCCAGGAGTTCAAGAAGCCCGGGGGGCCCAGGTCGGGCGGCCACGGGGGCAGCCAGAGGGGCGGCTTCGTCAAACCCGCCGACGGGAAGCCGCCCTACGGGGGCAGGGGCGGATACCCCGGGCAGCCGGTGAAGCACGGCGGGGGCAGCAACGAGCACCGCAGCCACGGCCTACTTCCGGCGAAGGGCCCGCCGCCCAACGTCGCTCCCCCAACCGGTGCCGGAAACCTCGGGAACCCCGGCAACCCCGGCAACCCCACCAACCCCACGAACCCCACCAACCTCGGCAACACCGGAAGCAGGGTGCACTCTGCGGGAGGACGGCTGCCGAGGATACCCTTGGACAACGTGAGTATTCTGTCTCGGTATAAGCGCCGATTCGTCTCCGTGGAACGATTCTCGACGACCAGGGCGCCAGATACGGTCCTCCGATGTGTCTCTCTTGGTGCTTCCGCCAAGCTGTAAGCGAATCCGAAGAGTTGGCAGCTAGGAACGAACCGGTGGTAGTATACTTCCATTTATTCCTCGCTTCGAGAAAGAATATCGATATATACTCGGTATCGAGAAATAAGTATCATTGCAACTTGACTCCTGTTGAAGGCATGCCGTGAATATGAATTTCTATATTAATCGGAATACGTTTTAATTGGTAATCGGTATACTTCCATTTATTCCTCGCATCGAAAAAGAATATCGATATGTACTCGGTATCGAGAAATAAGTGTCATTGCCTCCTCGTATCGAATTAAAATACAGAAACGTATAAGCCAAACTTGACTCCTGTAGAAGGCATGCGGTGAATATGAATTTCTATATTAATCGGAATACGTTTTAATTGGTAATCGGTATACTTCCATTTATTTCTCGTATCGAGAAAGAATATCGATATGTACTCGGTATCGAGAAATAAGTATCGTTGCCTCCTCGTATCGAATTAAAATACAGAAACGTATAAGCCAAACTTGACTCCTGTAGAAGGCATGTATTGAATATGAATTTCTATATTAATCGGATTACGTTTTAATTGGTAATCGGTATACTTCCATTTATTCCTCGCATCGAGAAAGAATATCGATATGTACTTGGTATCGAGAAATAAGTATCATTGCAACTTGACTCCTGTAGAAGGCATGCCGTGAATATGAATTTCTATATTAATCGGAATACGTTTTAATTGGTAATCGATCGAGTAGGTGTGGCAATACAAATTGATAAAAAGTACCTCATTGTATCCATCTCTTTCCGAGTCGATTTCTCCGATACCAAGTAAATATGGAAACCGAGGGTATAGATGCCAAAAGAACTTGGTATCGACATGAAATTGTCGAGTAAATTTGCGTAGGTACTTGTATCGGTTTATCCTTGTCGGCAGCTTGGCTCGGAAGATGGAGGGCACTTACTTTCTTGAATTAAATCGATGGTTTTCTGTATGCCCTGGGGGAATTGTCTGTTAGCCACCTATTGCGTAACATAACACTTAATTGGATTATAGGGTATTTCGAGGATTGCGTTAGCGGGCGATTAAAACAAATATAACGTCTCCGGACCTGTTGCGACAAATCTTTGTCTGTAAAATCTTCCTTTTTAAACAGTTGCCGTAATTTAATCTCAGAAGTTTTATGAATACGCAAATCATTTTTGTTGCCTTCGTGTTTTATTAAATGACTTTAAATTCTCGATGCAAGTATTTGGTAAACGTCTAGGAAACATTCGTTGGACGATTTGCTTGATTTTAAACTATTAACCGAGAAAATTATTAGAACTGCAAATCACTGGATAGTCTATGAGGGTTTTCATGTGAGCATATGCAAAGTGGAAGCAGGTCAACATTCAATTAACCCTGACTTAGCTTTAGTTCTTAACGTTGCATAGGCGGATCGATTACTTGATGATTAAATTCCTTACAATAACTCCTCGCGCTGCTTAAGTTGATTTTTTATTATTTTCTATTCACTTTTTTACCTTATCCAATTTTGTTTTATGCTAGACCGCTCTACTTGTAAATGTTAGCATTTTAAGTCGTACAGTAAAACTCGCGAATATTTTCAAAGTAGTTACATTGAATATAGAGGCGAATTTTATTAAATCCTTAAAACCCCGCTACTTTTTTTCAACCGATTAATAACTAGCTATACTGTGTGAGGCGACTTATGTGTAATTTATCAATTGAACGGTACAAATAACGAGCCGTTTTTATTCCGGTTTACGCGACTCACGTGGAACGTACCCGGTTCGTGTAATTCGTTATCACTCCTGAAGTAATGACGAGTTATCTCGTTTGCTCCCGTATTTTTTCTTTCGATACCTTCTTAACCTACTTTTTCTTGATTTTTGCTGCAACTCATTTTCACTTCTTCGTTTAATTGTATGGTACGTTAATTATGAAGAACCTTTAAGATGTTCAATGCTCGGTGAAATTAATGGAGAAATAATACGAGTGCATCATTTGAGGACATCTTTCCATTACTTATTTGCATTTTTCCGGAGGCTAAATTATGTTTGATCTTGAAAACAGCACATGAAAAAGGCAACATTAATTCATATTTTGAGATTATCCAGCGGTTAATGTGCATTATTATACATTTCTTCGTAAACGGAATTAATTTTTATCTGAATTTAGTTCATAATTTATACATTAATGCATTAGTACCCTGCCACCCTACATTACCACCATTAGAAATTTACTGATATTCCACAGAAGTCAAATTTAGCCTTTTCCATTTAATTAGTTATTATTCGAACCTTTTTAAATTGTTTGAATTGGTGCTTATTTGAAAAGTGTGTATCCCGTAGCATGCATTAAAAATAAATAATTACAAGCAATGCTATATTCGTAAACGTTCCCAGTCAGAATCGAAGATAATATTAATACTTATTTTCTATAATACTGAAAATCGGGAAACGAAAAATATTTCCTGTGTTTCAGCGCGATTGGAATTTGTTTGAAATCTCATTAATACCCCTAAGGAAGTCCAAAACAGCACCTTCGTCATTTAGGGCACATCTCATTATATCGGATTTAATAAAAATGCATTTGTAATTAGATGACTTTTTGAACTCGTAATACGTACTTATTCATTTCGCATTGATTTAAACCATAATGTTACTTATCTCACTCGTACCCTAACTTCAAATTATCGGTAGAACAGAATTTCCATTTCCTTGCGATGTTGCGTAACTAACGCAACGTTCTAGTGCAGTATTAAATCGAGCAAGGTATTTCCATATTCAAATCGTAAGTTATCGCATTAGGTGAGCCGGGACAACAAAACCACCAAGCGACGCTACGCGCAGGTAGACGTTCTAGAAGAAACATGGCGGAAAAGAGACAACGAGGCGCCTCGGCCGCCGTGTCTCGCTCGCAAACCCGTCGTTAATAAGCGCTGGCAATCGCTTGTAAATCGATCGTGTTATTCTTAGCGGGTGCTCCCCCATAACCGGCAACGCTGCGTCGAGAATCTCCTTCGGCGATCCCTGTTTTATCCACCGAGACGCGATCCCGTCGAGCTCGACTCTACCGGCGTTGTCGCGCACGACGTTACCGGCCGAGCGCGCGCGAGATGCGAGCGTACATACCTGCCTTCAGACAGAATTATCCGACATTAGAAATCGATAATCTCTCTTTCTTGGTTTCAGGGTTCGAACACAAGGCATGGCCCCACAGAGAGTCCTGCCGAGCTAGAGAACATTCTGAAGGTACGTCTCGGACTATGTTTAAGTATCATTACGAGAATATACTTTCACCATTAACGATTCAAGGTTGCAGTCACGTAAAAGATTAATTTCTGTATAAGATTTCGGATACTCAAATTTTTGCCTCTTATACGATTCTAAAAGGATTTTCTGTATTTGGAATTTTGAAAATTTATCCGAGATGGTTAGATTCGTCGCCTTTATTATTGAGTTAAGTTTTGCATTGAGAAGTGACTCGTCTAATTTTACGGATGCCGAATTTCTAAGATCACCGCGTGAATTCGTTCCCTCCAAATGGGACAAGTCGGCTATTACTTGAAGCCGATATAAATGTTTCGGTAGGCGAGAAGCAATTCACTTTGGTTCAAGGTTACATATCAGTCACGGAATTCGGTATTCGTACGTTTCCGAGATTAGAGCGAGGGGTCATTCACTTGGGAAGAATCTTGAATATACCTTAAAAATATCACTTAAATATGGTTTATTACTTTTGTGACCAAATTAACACCTTAACGACGAGGCCATAACGCCAACTATGACAACTTGACACGGTATTTCGTTATCGCATCGTTAAGAAAATCAAATGGTATCGTCGTTAAATATTTTCAGTGTAGTGGAAATTGTTTTAAAGTCATTACTGGAACATACTGGGATTTTCGTCGTTAGGAACGTGAATTTGAATTGGGGTGGTGATATGGAAACTAATGAGGTGTACGGCAGCGTTGAAATGCACACCTCTACTTTACCTCCACCCTTACATACCATCTGCGTAAATGATTTTGTAATTGCTGTACCTGCACGCCACCGTCGTTACACCGGTGTTCTAAATGGAGTCATTCAGTCGAACGGCTTGCATGTAATTTGAAGCCAACTTGAAGATATTTGAAAACAGTTACCGCACTTAACAACGGTCCATAAAAAACCTAAACATCAATGATATAAACACCCAACGGTTCGTTGAACTTTCAAAATTTGTCGTTTCACCGTGCACTCGTAATACGCCATCTACGCTATGATCAATGAACTAGAAACTTTAAGTTAAACGTTTACTATAATTATCATTCTCCTGAAAATCTAACATTGTGTACAATTTTAGTGAATTGGTTCTTTTTTCTTCTGCGAATACAGTCAAACCTGTTTTTATGTGGTCTTTTTTATGCGATTTTTTTTGTGCGATTTTTTTATGCGGTATATTAATATCGGGATTCTATTGTGTCATTAATAGGAATGTAACCGAAAACACGTCCACGTTATCATCAGAAAACATTGCGCTAGCACATAACATCTGCGGAGAAGGTTTTGACACTTTTAGCGAAAACGATCTTATCAAAATGATTAAGGACGAAACCGTAACTGATACTGACATTCTCAATAACTTAACAGCAAATTAGAAAAGCATTTTCTTAAAATAGATAACAATTCCGAAAGAAGTTTGAAATTCCAAAAAGAGCTTCGATCGTGTATATCTGGCTATCGTGACGTTTACAAGCAGCTGATCAAACGACCGTCGTTGCAAAAACTTATTACCGACTACATGGTAACAAAAAATAAATCAACTCTAATATCTTCAAGTGAGGAAAGCGATTACGAACCCGTTTACACAAGAATATGCGCGTTTTGGACTACGACGAGTAGTATTGAATTATGTACATTTTGAAAATTTCTCCATGTGTAATTTAATTATTTATTTTGCTTGGAAAGCACTTTCTCGCTATTTTGTAAAGCTTCGACATATTTTCTAACTGAGACTTATTTTATGCTGTCCCTCTCCACCGCGTAAAAAAAATTTTCTTTAATATGTTCTGAAAAATGATTTGTTATAGCTATTTATGAAGTTTCTGAATATATTTTTTTCTGCGGTTTTTTCTGCGGTCCCTATCTACCGCACGAAAACAGGTTTGACTGTATACGGGTTTGATCTTTAGGAGAATCAGTGAATTACCGTGTCATTCTTGACGCAAGATCACTAAAAACAAATTGAAACTTACTATACGAGTTTTTGCCCCTTTACCCGATACCAATTCTCGACTTGGGCTGTCGTCAAACTTCGCCGAGCATTTTTAACCTATGAGTTGGTCGAAATCGTGAACAAAGAAACGATATAGGTAACAAAAATATCAAGCAAGATGGTTTCCCTAAATATTGGATTCGTAAGCGTTTGAAACTTTCATCTACCCGAACGCCCTCACAGATATGGGACGGCTCGAGCGCACGGCTCACCTGTGTACCATAACTCGGAGCAGCAACGGAGAAAAAGAGAAAAAGAGAGCGACTCCCAGTCGATTTCACGGGTGCCGAATCGTCGAGGCTCGCGCGCGAGTTCGGGTCGAGTCGACAAAGTTCGAGACCGGCGCGCATATCTCGGCATAGGCGAGAGAGGACGAATTCGTTGAGGCCGATACTTGTAAACCAGTCGCAGAATCCGGTACTCGTACTCTCTCGGGTGTGTAGGGGGTTCGATTTGCCGGGAATTTACGAGGTTCGCTGCCGCGCGCCACGTTGCCACGTCTCCTCCTGAAGCTTCGCCGGCGAGTGGCGAAGCGGCGCCCGTCGTTCCGGCATGGTCGTCGCATAGTCCATAGGCAGCGCCAAGGACCTGCTATGAATTATTCTCACGGTTGCCCGTGGGAAAGTGCGGGTTGCGCCAGTGGACATCGCAAATGTGGTCGCTAATTGCACTTACGACCCCAAGACCGCGGCTACTGAATACCTTATAACGTCAACGGCCGTTCGCCGACCGGTCGATGCAGAATCCGACTCGCCCTATCTCTCCTCCACTTTGTCCAAAGAGTTCGAAAAGTCTTGAGCCTAAAGCGATTCGATCGAGGGCGGACCACCCCCTTCATCAGCCGCAATTTCTCTACACTTTTACCTTTCTAGAAAACTGACCGCAGGTCCGCATAGAGTCGTACACGGGAAATTTGAGGGAATCCAAAGAATATCAAATTTATTTCCCGTCTTTGCACCTTTTTTTCCCGTCCAAAGGGGGTTCGACGGCACTTGGGGATAGGGTCGGTAAAGAACTCTGCAGGCACGACCGCAAGCGTAAGTTTCTGAAAAATCGAAAGCTCCCAGCCGCGAATCGTGACAGCTGGTCAACGTTTTCGCGACCACGGGTTAAGGTGAAGTGAAACACTTCGAGGAACTTGATCGACGTCGATAAAGATGATTTTTCTAAATGCCTACGTTGCCGATGATCGTTTTTATACTGACAGCTGTATCGAAATATATTGGATATTGTACCAAATGGCATATTCCACCTGTCGTTTTCGTACAATAAATATCAAGAAATTGAAGCAAAACTCCAGAAATCCTCTGGATTCATGTTTTCCGGGGCCCTAATTGACTGCAGAGGGACCCCCTGCGCCCCCTGTGATTCCCAGGTTAATTAAATTTTTATTCCGAGACCTCGTATTCCCATCGTTTTAGTACAGAAGCGCATACAACACTTTTTTCGTCTTTATCCCGTTCAAATGCGAGTTTATCTATTACCAGAGTGTTCTAAATTGTCGTAAAATTGTCCTGACCCTTTCGTTTTTCATATCAGAGCCTTCGATAATTGTATATTGATCGAAATATGTGAGGTCGACGCCATTTTGGTTCTAGTCTGGGCTAAGTTACAAATTTTTTTCCAAAAATCCAAAATTTGAATGTGTCAGGACAATTCTTAGATGATCAGGAGTGACGTGTCAAAGTTTCGGACAGTTTAGTCTAATACCGTTAAAAAAAAGTGTTGTATTCGAATCGACTGATTTGAAGTGGGTTTCACTTCACCTTAAGGAGGATACCGGTGAAAGCCACACCGCCCGGTCGACCCACTGCGGTCCTCCTTTATTTCTGCATCTCACCGACGTCCTCCTGGCGGAAGTTTTCTTCCTGGCTTGTTCGTGCACCTACCCCAACACCGTAACCGGTTGTGCCACCCCGAACCCTCCGCGACGCCCATCCGAAGCAACAAAATTCGAGCCTTTCGTGGCCGCCCTTCTGGGCTCTAGCTGGGCTTCCGGATCCTGCGAACCTTCGGCTGTTTCCTGGGAACACGGTTCTCGCGAAGACGTTCTCCGGTCAACTTTTTCGAGGCCCGTTAGCGCTCCCGCGTGCCGCCCACTCGAGCCGCGCCAGTACTCGGGTACTTTAGCAAGTGCACCGCAAAGAGTCCCAGTCCAAGGCGTACGCCCGGCAAGTCTCGTAACGGGTTTTCACTCCTTCGCGTGCTCGGCATAATTACCGCACCACGCACTGTACTTACCTGCCGTACGGCCCTGCACCCGCCTGTATCCACCTGCAACAGTCTTAGATGCAGGCGGGTGTTTTGCACTTCGAGCGCCGAGGCGCTCGAGTGTACGTGTCTACCGAGCGAGGCACTTGGAACGCTTGAATGTCTTCTCCACCTTTGGAGATACAAAAAGGGGTTCGTATTAAAAACTACTCGGCCGGAAGGTGCTGATATAACAGGTGGCTCGTGCGTTTCCGCACGCGCACGAAATGTGCAATTTTAGGTCACCGAAGTTTTTGCGCTCTTTTCTTAGGTTTCTTTTTCTCCTTTAACGAGTCTCGCGTGTTCCACCTATTTCTAACAAGGAAGGCATCCCAAGTCGATCTCTCCCGTTTCATTTTTTTTATAATATGTTATTGTACACTACAAACTAAGCGACACGTATGTTTTTTTATCTGCCATTAAACACTTTAAGGGGGGTGAAACCACCATTCAAAGTAAGCCATGTCAAGGGGCGATTTGGCAGTTTCACCCACAAGAACATAATATTTTTCATTTCTTGTTATGAGAAAGCTATTCCAGGTGGATAGGTTAAAAAATATTATGAAACATATTAATGGCAGATAACAAAAATACGTGTCGCTTAGTTTTTAATCTACTATAACATATTATAAAATAATTCAAATCGGAGAGATCGACCTTCCTTGTAAGTGCGGCCGAGAGTGGTACAGCGATATGGAATATATTTATTCCTCGCACTTTTGCTTCTTATTTTCGAATTGGATCGAAATGGAAATGCTTCATGCCGTCTACAAAGTGCACACCTGCAAAGTAGAGAGGAAGGGTGACATTGCGCGACATGTGAAATTTACTATATATCTTAAATGGTGACTGCGTCATATGTACATCTAGAGAAAGTATTTTCACGTAGAGAGGACAGAAATTCTGGATTCTTGTTCCATACTAATTTACCTACTTTACTTGCTCCTTGAAGTTGGGTTTGTATAAATATGTAAAGAACGCATAGACGTTAGAATATAAATGAAGAAATGTATTAGCACATGCGTTCAACTTCTTGAACTTACATCGATGCACGGTAGATTTAGAATCCGTTTATTTGTACTTTATTTACCAGGGGCTGTGGGCTTTTAGAATCCATTACATTATTCCCATCATCGTCTTTATTTTCTTCTTTTCATCTTCCGAGGCTAAATATGAACTTTGTGCAAAGTGCCGCGCTTAAGCCCTGATTACCTACATGCGTGATTTTACTGATATTCAAATGCACCGGATGTACGCTCTTCGTGCTCATTTAATTTGCAGGTGCAACTTTTTTTCTTTCACAAAACAATCTCGCCTGAAGTAACGCTGCTTGCTCAGTCACGAGACCATCTGCAGTGGAAAATATTCAGAGGCTAAAGTCCCGGACAGTTTCGTGCAGTAATTGTTGGATGCATTATGCGTTCACAATGACTAAAGTACGGTGGTGAAATTTCTCCTTTTATGCTATCTTTTACCCCATTCAAGACTTCAAAATGAAGAGTAGGTTTGAAGTACTTTCAGAATATTTTAAGGCCGTTAATCCTTGTTAATATTTTATCCAACCACCATTTCTATTATAAATAATAGAAATGTATATTTAATTCAACATTATTTCATTCTTGGATGTGGAATATTAATAAAAGAATACTTAAGGTGTTTGTACGAACTGTTTCCGCTTTTATGAAATTCTCCAAGCAGTGAGTTCATATTTACTGGAATTTTAAAAACTGTTTCTCCATTTTTCCCATCTCGTACAATGTTATACACGAAAACTGGACTATTTAGATTTCAATTACAAGCCAGTTGGGTTGTTTCTGAAACAAGATTGTTTAGATAGTTTCAGATTGTTTCGCTCACACACCCGAAGTAGGAGGAAAGTGTTAACAAATACAAATTATTTATTCACGCTTCCGCTTGGCAAGGGAATAATTGCTTAACATCAAAACTGAAAATGATCACCTATGTTTTATCATACACGACAATTACATAAACGACTTAAGATTATTTAGTGCGTATTAACATAGACATAAAATCCATGTCCAAATAAAAGCATTTGGGATCTGTTCATATCTGGGTATTCAGTTCAAAGTCACCAATACAGATGACAACGTAATAGTCTTCTAATATAATAAATATACTATAATATAATGGACTAGGAAAAAACGTACTTAATTAAACGGTATTTAATGAGTGGTTGTCAAAAATTTGCCCAAATTTGTTCGAATTTCAGTATAAAGCAGGCAAAAGTACGTAACTGATTGCAGTACTTTGCGTTCTCTTTAGAGTGCGCCTGAGCACATTTCCTATTTTTTCTTTTTTTTTTTTCAAAAACGCCATGACAACTGGTAATGCTGCTGCCTATTTTTGTTTCGTTACCCAAATGGCGCTGGGATGGATTCGATCATTTCAATCGACTTCAGCATCTCCTTAAGGTGAAGTGAAACACGTCGAGGAACTTTAGCATAGAAGCGCATACAACACTTTCTTTGCCTTTATCCCGTTCAAATGCTAGTTTATCGAATACCAGAGTGTTCTAAATTGTCGTAAAATTGTCCTGACCCTTTCGATTCTCATATGTGCCCATAATTATGAAAGTGGTCTAACTCAAAATTGAAAAAAAATGAGTTTATCAGTTATTTCACGCCACATTGTTTCAAACGAAATTAATTCAATGTAATTTCGAAACAAAAAATATATGACTTAGACCACTTTCATAATTATGGGCACATATCAGAGCCTTCGATAATTGTATATTGATCGAAATATGAGAGCTCGACGCCATTTTGGTTTTGGTCTGGGCTAAGTTAAAAAATGTTTTTCAAAAATCCAAATTTTGAATGTGTCAGGACAATTCTTAGATGATCAGGAGTTATGTGACAAAGTTTCGGACAGTTTGATCTAATATCCTTAAAAAAAAGGGTTATATTAGAATCAACTGATTTGAAGGGAGTTTCACTTCACCTTAAGCTCTAAAGGAAGTGTTCCTATTACTTGTCTGTACTTCTTCATCTGTATTAATTCTTCTAATTTTAATATAACAACTTTTAATCTTATTTCCTTGCCTGCTCCTTAAGAGACTTTGAACCACCTTATTAACACGTTCACGCCGGCGCGTACCACCGGTGGCTCGCGCTTGATTGCGCCATCGGGCGGCGCGTACCACCGGTGGCTCGCGCTTGATTGTGCCATCGGGCGGCGTGTACCACCGGTGGCTCGCGCTAGACGCATCATCGGGCGGCGTGTACTACCTGTGTTTCGCATTCGATTGTGCTATTAGACACTGATAATTTAACGTACATACATAAAAACGTGTATTTTGAATAAAAATTATAATTAATAACGTATTATGAACATAAATTTTGCTTAATAACACACACATAAAAATTCAGTATTATGAATGTAACTTCAACACTCAAATCTTCCCCCGAGGAACATTTCATAACGTTGCTGTTTACGTTAACAAAATCTTCGCCTGAAGAGGAAGAAAGTATTCGTAATCTTGATGCGTTTCTCCTGCCTCTATTTACACATTCATGAGACGAATCACTTATTTCCATATCCATGTTATGGGCAAAATTAAAAAAATATTTTTAAGGGCAAAATTTAAAAAAATATTCTAACCACCTTTTAGTTATTTTTACTAACAGAAATCTGTGGTTAGGATATAAAAAACGGCACGAGTCACATAATTTGCAAAGTAAGCGCTCAATGTAATACTGAAGAAACAAGAAGCGCGTGCAAGTCTGAACACGCGAGAAATGCGCGCCGCCAGATGAAGCGCGACATAGATTTGTGTGCCGCCGTTGGGGGAAACAAATGAAAATTGGCGCCGGCGGGAACGTGTTAAACACCGTTTCGTGTTTCAGGAAATGATGATGCCGCCTACACCCCTGACGGCGATCGCACAAACCCCGAGGAAGGAACTCGAGTCGAAGTTTACTTTCAACCCCGTTCTGGCGAAGGTGAGAGTCTTGTCTGATTTCCCGACATAATTGCACTATAAAGTAACTGCAAGAAAAGCGATAAATGGCGGACTATTCTTTACGTTCTGGCCCTGCCTTTTGCACGTCGTTCCGAGAAAATGCGAGATAATTTGATTTCTCGTCTGTTCTCCTGCTTACCTATTCTCGTCTGTAAGCAACCTTCTCTCCGTTAATACATCTTATGCTCTCGGATGATGAGAACTAGAGTCGTATTCAATTATGCAACACTTTAACCTAATTATCGGCACTGCATGTAACAGTCAACGAACGAAATGAACTCACCCGAGCACAGAATTTAAGTAAATTAGTGCAATTAGTACAAGATTTGACATTAATTGGTCCTGGGATCACTCAACAATTATTAAAAAAAGAATAAGCTTAATTGGTATAACTTCCTATATCTATAATTAATAAATATTTGTGATCTTTCGTCAAACGATACAGTTTCTCGGCTGTCTTGACTCACTATGCATGCATTACGAAATTAAATGTAAATAAATCTTTCCACCGTATTTTGTTATAAAGTGCGGCTGTGATAACTTTATACAGCTCTGGAACGGATATCGCTTCTCGTTCTGTTCTAGAGTCAACGGTTAGGAGTCTTTCTTTTTGTGTTTTTACGAGTTGTTTGGTTTGAATTAAATAAAAGGAAACTTAACTCCTATAGCAGCTCGGGAGTCGTTTTCGGTCCGCTTGGCAGAAAAAAGTTTCGTGCCACTTGGCTAGGTGTCAAGAAATGTTCTTATGATGGTTAGAACGTGAATTGCCCAAACGGAACAGAAGCAGGCTGAGAGAGCAAGAAAAAAATACCCCCGTGAAATTAGCTCGTAAATGTGGGTTAATTTGGTCTCCGCAATCTCACGGTGGTGCTGTTTGCGCTGGAGTTACCATTCCCTGAAATTCCGCGGCTGTTTCTCCGCCGCGATTCACTTTCAAAAGTCCCACAGGATTGTCAACGCAAACGTTCATCGTCGAACTTAATTTAGAACATGTCCTTAACTTGGTTAGATCTTCGAAAACGGATAGAGAGACCGAAATTCACAAGCGAGGGAACTAAAGAGATCTTCTGGTCTAGGAATCAATTTTTTTTTGCTCCTTTTTACAGACGAATTCCGAAGAAACTGCACAGTTTTTTATCGTTGATCTTGTTCGCACAAATTTCTTGATGGTTTGACATAAGTAATACAAATTTGCGCAATTATAAATAATGATAACGATCTAAAATAATCGGATAGAGCGCGCGCTGAAAAACATTGGCGTACATGATTCTGACCTTTCCGCGAAATAAAAAAAAAAAAACAATAAGATTCTTAATTAGTGAAAAGAAAGCTGGAGCAGATAACAAAAATATAACGAAAAAAATTCAAAATTCACAAACCGACGGGACTTTGAAATTCGCCTTTCGACATTTCGTTCTTTTTTTTTATATTTAAACGACCGCAAAAATGTAAAAACAAAATATTTCGACTTAATTTTCCTACCTGCTAAAAGTGTGCATTTTCTGAGGGTGAACGGAAAAGTTGAAAATAATTGATAAAAAGTGAGTAATAGAAAAGTGGAAATATCTGGATTACTACTTTGTGACATTATAAATTACGATAGGGGATCAATGATTATAACTTTTTCGCGAATTGTATTTTCGAGGGCGTGAAGAAATGGTCGGACGCTGGGCATCGGTGCCTATTTTTCATGGATCATTGAAATTGATATATAATCATCTTTTCTCCCATCTTCGATAAATATAATGACGTATTATGTAGAAGATTCCCGTACATGTTGGTATTTGTGCCCATAATTATGAAAGTGGTCTAAGTCATGTATTTTTTGTTTCGAAATTACATTGAATTAATTTCGTTTGAAATAATATGGCGTGAAATAACTGATAAACTCATTTTTTTTTTTTTAATTTTGAGTTAGACCATTTTCATAATTATGGGCACATTTATAAATTACGTGATCTTTCCCGGGCCCTTACGACCCTACCTTATTATTATTAGCTTTGCAAATAGGTCCGAAAAATTGTCTCCTAGACATAGAAATGAACCTAATTTCTACTTTAACCGAACTCGCAATTCATTAGAGGTAACGAGGAGAGCCATTAGAAAGAGGTGAGATTTTAATTGGGTCCCGGCAGGAAATCAATCTTAAGGACCGACCTTTAAAAATACCTCGGTGCTCCCAAGAGGCGGCATTCCAGCTTCGTGGCGAACCGTGGCACCGAACCAGAGATCAATTAATAATTCAGAACGGTCTCCTCGGAATCCTACGGAGCCGCCGTGAGCGCTGGAAAGAGTAAAGAGAATCCTAATCGGGTAAAATCACGGCTATTACGGAAGGACCGGCTGGTTAATGGATTAAATCGAGGGAAAAAAGAGGAGAGGACGCCGATAAGGTTTCGAGAGGTGCGTAAGAGGACGCTTCCCGGGGGCGTCGTCCTTGAGAGTCGAGGTTCCGAGCCTCGGCACCGCGACGAGCTGCCTGACTCTCGAACGTCGATGATTCACCGAGATATTTCCGCCGGTCTGGGACCACCGCGTCGTCCCTTTCGACCTCGCGGTCCGTCCGATCGCGCGGTCTCTCTCGGATTCGCTGTCCACCCGGGTCGCGAGGTCTCTCTTTGACTCGCGTACCTCGCGATAGCGCGGTCTCTTTCCGGCGCGACGCCGCGCGCGCGGTGGACCCCGCTTTAAGCCGGGGGTTGGGGTCCTCGCGACGCGTCGTCGCCCACGTGGAGATCGATTCGACCGGGTCGAGGAACCTGGGTCACGTGACCTTCGGCGCCCTTCCAAAGGGCAATGGCGTTGCCCCGGGGACGATCCAAGTCGATCGGCCCCTCCGGACCCTGGCAAACGTAAATCTCTCTATCCGATATCTGTGTATCTGCCTATGTCTTTACTCGGTGTTTTTCTTTTTTTACAGCTGACCGAAGTCCCGCCGGCGGAATCCGCGAAACCTCGTAAGTATCGCACATCGAGTTCGGCCGCTTTGCCCTAAGGGTCGTCTAAGAAGGGTGGACGTATTTTCATATCTTTCGAGAGTAAATGTAGAGTTTATAGAATTTCATAGAATTTCAGGATCTCGGGGAATTTCCTGCTTTCGTGGTCGATTACGCGATCGGTGATCGTATTGTAGATTCCATACTTCGGCAAGTAGAATATTCGTTTTGGAACATACTTGCTATCGTAACACGTTTATCATGTATCTAAGATATTTGAAGAATTTTTTTATTGCAGTTTGATGATGGAAAAATTGAAAAGTGCGTCACATCTTTTTTAAATGATTCAGATCTGTATGTCTACCCTTCGCATTTCGGAGTTAAATCTGAGAAATATTGCCTTGGCTGAAAATACGAAAGTTTTTTAAGAAAATATACTCCAGGTAAGTGCGTAGGGTAGTTTTCTTATTACCGTGGAAAGATCTACTGTTGGGTGTAATCAAGGAATCGTTATAATCTGTTTTTAATTTATTAGCCTATTATCTGCCATCCAATGCAGAATAATTCATTCTTTCGTCGTGTAATGTCCTTTGGTTCGATAATTGCTGTTATTGAATTGTAAGTTGATTATCGATCTAGTGAATTCTTTCCGCAGCGTTGTGATATAATACGTGAATACATATGCATAGGATGAATCTCGAATATTGTTCTTAAATTTCATTGGCTATTCGTTTATTGACTTAAATTTTGATTGGCTATTCGTTTATTGACTTAAATTTCATTATTGCCCCTGTCCACATTGTTTCTCGTTTACACCAGAAGATTTTGATTTCCAGTTGAAAGCGTACCGGTATATAGTGAATTTATCCAGGGGTTCCTTGCAAAAATGAAACACTTCATTTCCGTAATAATAGGCGTAATATCGTCGATAGACCGAGTTATTAGATAAAATTCTTGCTCTCGGTATTCGGATAAAAAGTTTAACTGGAGCGTCTCGGGTTGTTGACATTAAATCGGTTTACGTTCGGATGAATCATTTACACCTAAGTCAATATCAAAATAATATCCTAAAGGGTCATAAATTACTTGTGCACGCGTTATCACCCTAGGGCTCCTTATCTTCGCTATTATTGTTTCGGTTATTACGTCTGATGTCACCATTTTAATAATCTGTTGCGGATCAAAGTCTCGAAACCCATATGGCCTATACATACGGTGATTTATTTACCCGAATCCCCTGAAACGTTTAAATCTCGGACAAATCAATGACTATTTTTCTCCTCTTATCTTCAGCGTTAAATTATCTGGAAATTTCCCCCCTTCGAAATAACTAAATGTTGTGTCCCTGATGTGCCATTTGAAGCCAAGATTCATCGCTCCCTCGGTGTGTCTCACTATACTCACAAAGTACTTAAACGAAAAGAAAATTTTATCTGCCCCTCCTAGGTGCGACATTTATAGTAAATATACTAATCGGGAATCTAAATTCGCTATCGCGCAAGTCACTGATCTCGAGTTCAAGCGAAAATTCTCATCCCACATTTATTTATGTTAAATCGCATTAAACCGTTACGGGAAATTGAGTATCGTCGATGCCTTCATCAACGTCAGGTTGCAAAGAATCAAGACACAAATGTCAAATTTCCATAAACATGATTCCCCAGACCCATGTATGGTAGATAACAGGTTTCTTTCCCTGGTTAGGTTAAGGTGAAGTGAAACCCCCTTCAAATCAGTCGATTCGAATACAACACTTTTTTTAAGGGTATTAGACCAAACTGTCTTTGACACATCACTCCTGATCATCTAAGGATTTTCCCGACACATTCAAAATTTGGATTTTTGGAAAACATTTTTTAACTCAGCCCAGTCTAGAACCAAAATGGCGTCGAGCTCTCATATTTCGATCAATATACAATTATCGAAGGCTCTGATATGAGAAACGAAAGGGTCAGGACAATTTTACGACAATTTAGAACACTCTGATAATCGATAAATTCGCATTTGAACGGGATAAAGACAAAAAAAGTGTTGTATGCGCTTCTATGCCAAAACGATAAGAATACGAAGTCTCGGCGTGAAAATTTAATTGACCTGGAAATCACAAATGGCGCAAGGGGTCTCTCAGCATTCAATTAGGGCCCCAGAAAGCATGAATCCAGAGGATTTCTGTAGTTTTACTTCGATTTCTTGATATTTATTGTACGAAAATGACAGGTGGGGTATGCCATTTGGTACAATATCCAATATAATTCGACACAGCTATCAATATAAAAACGAACGTCGGCAACGTAGGCATTTAGAAAAATCTTCTTTATCGACGTCGATCAAGTTCCTCGACGTGTTTCACGTCACCTTAAAAACAAAGACAAAAAGCGGGGCGAGCGGAAAAGATGCAAATCCTTGGGTACGAGGATTTTGTGGTCAAATGGTTGAGCCCTTCCGGTGTGAGTTAAAAACTGAAACGCACAACCCCCGTTAGGGACGACGTGTGACTTTGGAGGTAACATAATCACGGTCGTTCCGTAATGTAGGGCGCGGGAAGAAAACCTGTGGATTCATTGAAAGCGTTCATTCCGAGCGTTCGAGCGGGTAACCAGCGCAGGCTCTCTTTCATGAATTAACCATTCGACACGCGCCCTCCTCGATGCTCGGATGTATGTACTGCCCACTTTACAACGCCATTATCCGAGTTACAACCCGCCTCGTCCGATTCGGCTCCCCGGGCTTCGTTATTCGGCCATTACTGCCACGTGGTCCGACTCGGTTTTGCCGTGCAAATTTGTACTTCACGCCCTCCCTGCCCTCCATTTCACGTAAAGGAATAACTTTTTCCCTCTCTGCCCTTCTCGAGATTGCAGCAAAATTTGTGCTCGAGGAAAATACGTGTCGCAATCCTGATGCCTCGGAAAAATGATACATGAAACAGCCTTTAGATACTCTACTTTTATTTGCAACAAAAATTCCACTTGCGCGGAAAGGGAAGAGAATTGATGTGTTAAAAAAAAAAATACATGGAGCGAAATCTTCCAGAGAGATACAAAATGTTCCCGTTACGAAAATAAGAATAAATTATGTACAGGTAACCTTCCTATAACACGGTAGATAGGTTCCTAGAAAATGCCGTGTTGGGTGAAACCGTGTTATACGAGACTCAGAGCCAATACAAAAAGGGGGGATTACGTTCCGAAAACCTATAAAAAACAAACTTCTTTTTTTAATTCCATATAAGCAACTCAATTTTGATTAAAAATATAAATGTATGTACAACACAAAACGAAAAAGTAAGACAAGAAATATTATTTTCATGTAAAGGCACTATAGTTTATTATTCCTTCCCGCCATTATTTTAAGGTAATTTAGTTTTTAAATATGTTAAACAAAAATCATGTTACCCAGTGGCGTAGGAGTACAGGGTTGTACAAAGGTTTTCGCAATTTTCTTATCGCGTTAGAGCGAAACAGTGTTATAGAGTGCAGGGCTATACGAAGGTTCCCGCAATTTATCCTAACGTGTTACAGCGAAACCGTCTTATAGCATGCCGTGTTGTAGGAGGGCTACCTGTATAAATCCCCCGAGATTTCCCCGATGAGTTTCGCAGGGATTCTTCTTTTCCATTGAGTTTCCGATCAGGCATACCGCGCGGCAGAAGGTCGTTACCGTCATTGCAAAGTCTTTTTCCTCCGCGGGGAGAATTAAGAACGAGGACGATCCGCCTTTGGAGCGTTAATTTGCGGCGTATTCAGGAGAAGCAGACGGTGGAACGCCATATGTACCGCTCGATACCGTGACAAATTCACACGACCATCTCGCTTCGCCCTCCCGGGCGGATCCCCTTTAACGAGCGGATCGCTCCTCGCGGAAGTCAACTTCGTTACCGGAAGCTAACTCTCGCGGCCAAGCGGCCAATCGATCCATGAAATTTGCGCGTTCGACCGCGAATACGGAAAGAGGAGTATAGGTCGTCGACGCGACGCTAGGTGGCGGGGGTAGAGAAAATCCTCGCGGTTCTTGCGGGGGGTAAAAAGTGAACACCGGTTCGACGAGTACGTTAACGAAACCGAAAATTGAACCAGAGGTATCGACGGACACCGCGCGGCGGTAATTACCGAATATATCAACCTAAACTGTATGTCCTCGTGTTAGGGATTAAGGTGAAGTGAAACACGTCGAGGAACTTGATCGACGTCGATAAAGAAGATTTTTCTAAATGCTTACGTTGCCGACGTTCGTTTTTATATTGACAGCTGGGTCGAATTGTATTGGGTTTTGTACTAAATGGCATACTCCACCTGTCGTTTTCGTACAATAATTATCAAGAAATCGAAGTAAAACTCCAGAAATCCTCTGGATTCATGCTTTCTGGGGCCCTAATTGATTGCAGAGGGACCCCTTGCGCCATTTGTGATTTCCAGGTTAACTAAATTTTCACTCCGAGACCTCGTATTCTTATCGTTTTGGCATAGAAGCGCATACAACACTTTTTTTGCCTTTATCCCGTTCAAATGCGAATTTATCGATTATCAGAGTGTTCTAAATTGTCGTAAAATTGTCCTGACCCTTTCGATTCTCATATCAGAGCCTTCGATAATTGTATATTGATCGAAATATCAGAATTGGACGCCATTTGGTTCTGGTCTGGGCTGAGTTAAACATTTGTTTTTAAAAATCCAAATTTTGAATGTGTCGGGATAATTCTTAGATGATCAGGAGTGATGTGTCAAAGTTTCGGACAGTTTGGTCTAATACCCTTAAAAAAAAAGTGTTGTATTCGAATCGAATGATTTGAAGGGGGTTTCACTTCACCTTAAAATCTCGATTTTCGCAGAAAAATCATCCTAAGCAATTGATCTTGTGAAATGACCGAGAAAAATCTTGTAGGAAAAAGATTTTTTTTTCAGTTTGTCCGAGAAAATACTTATTGATCTTGCATGAACTGTATAACATTTGTACATATACGTATTTAATAATACAAATGAATTGTTGTCAGTGTACGCCCCCCCCCCTCGTATTAGGTATCTGTAAAACCTTGATCTGACGTCTCGCAATATATACGAATTTACTTGATCTCTTGGAGAGT